GATTCTGACTCGTAGTGACTCTGTATAGGGTTTCTAAGGCTGTAAATATTTAGGGGAGAAGCTGGTGGATCAAATTGCTGATCCTATGGTTAGCAGTCTAATGTATCACACAAGACTTCTCCTAGGATGTCTGGCAGACACCAAAAACTAGGGAAGAGAGCTTCACAGAAAGCTGCATGGCCAAGACACTGATTTGGACCTATAATGTCCAGAGTGTTCTTTAAATCCATTCCCCTGTGCTAATTTTCTTACAAAATTACATTAGGCAACTAAGAGTTGAGGCCAAGAAGCTTAGCCACTTCCAGAGCCATGTGAATGTGAGTTTGAGCGTATGCAAGAGGCAGGTGAATTTCTTTTTAAGTTTTTTTTTATTATTATTTTTTGCTGTGAATTGAGTGAAGGTTTATAGAACAAATCATCAATTTTACATTCAACAAACCATACACTTTGCTTCCTTATAATGATTGCAATTAACTTTAACTCTCCCATTCCTCCCTATGTCTTCCAGCACCTTCATCTTTCCTCTGCCAACCTCCCTCTTGTATATCACCTGCCCCATCACCCAAGTTAACGCGTGTCTATCCTGTAGCCTATGAATAGCCCCCCACCTTCTACCCTTCATAGAATGTTTCTTTTGTCAAGAAAACATTTTCTTAATTTTTTATAACACTGGTCTCATATAATTTTGTCCTTTTGTGACTAATTTTATTCAGCATAATGTCGTTCAGCAGTCCTTGTGTGGCGCTATAGGATACACACTTGACCATAAGATAGGTTTGAACTGTAATGTTCAAACTCACCAGCTGCTTCTTGGAAACCCTCTACAGGGTTGCTATGAGTTGGAATGGACTCAATGGCCCTTAACAACAATGACGATGTCTTCTGTGTTATGAGGTGTTTTGCAGATACATTTTTATTCTTCAGGGTTGCAGCCATCATGCTCCATTGCATGCACCAGGCTGTTTAACCATTCTTTTGATGGGCAGTTGGGCTGTCTCCATCTTTTTGTTATTGGGTCCTTGTGGGCAGTATATTGAAGGATCCTGTTTTTTTTTTTTTTTTTTTTAATCCATTCTTCTACTCTCTTTTTCTTGGCTGGTGCATTTAATCCATTTACAGTAAGGGTAATTATTGATAGGTATGAAACTGATTCATGTAATTTTGCTGTGCATTTTTTTGTGATGCTACTGCTTTCTTTTTTTCACTAATTTTCCGTGCTGAGTTCATTTTGTTTGTGGGTTTTCTTGTCATTTCTGATGTGCTAATGTTTACTAAATCTTTCTGATTGTCCTCTTTTTAAAATCTTGATGTGAAAGTACATTAATTTTCTTTTTGTTTACCCAATAATTTATTGGTTCCCCATTTAAATCAATCTGTTTTATCTTGAAATCTTCTTGACTTCCCCACCATTTAGAAGCTCTGTGTCTACAAAATTCCCTCTTTTTGCTCTGTAATTGACTTCATTATAAAGCAATATCTTTGTTTCCCTATTTTCAGTCTTGTATAAATGCTGAAATACTTGTATATCTGGATTGAGTTCTGGGGGGTGTTGTCAGCTATGTTAATCTCAGGTTGTTATCTTCTATTGTTGGTTCCTGGTATAAAGAACAGCCTTTAGTATTTTTTGTAAAGTTGGTCTGGTAATTACAAATTCCTTTAATTTCTGTTTACCCAAAAATGTTCTAGTTCTGCCACAGTATTTGAGGGACAGTTTTACTGGGTATGTGATTCTTGGTTGGCAATTTTTTCCTTTCAGAATTGTGTATATTTCATTCCATTGCTTTCTTGCCTGTATGGTTTCTGCTGAGAAATCAAAGCTCAGTCTTATTGGTTCTCCTTTTCTGGTAAATTTTTGTTTTTCCTGAGCTGCTCGTAGGATTCTTTCCTTGTCATTGGTTTTGGAAAGTTTGATTATGATATGTCTTGGTGATTTTCTTTTGAAATCTATCCTGTTTGAGCTTTGTTTAGCTTCTCGTACATATATTTTCTCATCTTTCATGATGTTAGGGATGTTTCTTCCAACAACTCTTTGACAAATATTTCTCTGCTTTTAATTGTTTCTTCCTGTTCTGGAATTCTGATCATCTGCAAGTTATTCTTCTTCATGGTGTTCCACATAACTCTTAGGGTTTCTTTGTATTTTTTTCTTTTGCTTGTTCTTCTAACATACTAATATTGAAAATTTATCCTCAAGCTTACTAATTTGGGCTTCCATTGCTTTCAATCCATGCCTTTGCTCCTTTAATGTGTTGTCCATTTCTGAAATCTTAGTATTACTCTTTTGGATTTTGAACTGCAGGTTTTGTATATATATATTTTTTTTTCTTGTAGTGTTTTCCTGAATTCTTCTAAAGATTTTTTCCCCTGTGTTCTCCTTACTTTCCTTGATCTTTCTGTAAATCATTTTAAAATACCTAAATATCATTATTTTGTATTCTTTGTCACTGTTTTCTTCATCAGAAACATTTTCTGAGTCTACATCTTGGTCATTTTTTTTAATGGTATTCTCTTTTCTTTGTGTGAGCTAAAATTGTTTATTGTTGCTGGGACGTTGTGGTATATATATTTAATTGGTGATTGCATGTTGATGTGCTCTTAGGCCCTCAATAGCTGTCTTCTGTGTGCATAGTTAGAGAAAGGAAGCATGTGCACCATTCTCCACTCACTGGTCATGCACCTCAATTTAGGGTGGGTTTGGTTGGTGTTGTCTCCTGTCTATCACTGATCAGGTGGTATAGGAGCTGGTATTGATTGTCTCTTGCCTAGTGGGTGCATCTGCATAGGGTATTTGTGACCAGGTTGTATGGGCCTGGTTGATTTCTCCTGTTGGGTGGGAAAGAAGAGAACCCCGCCTCCCCCAAGAAAACAAAACAGAATGAATAAATAAGCAAGCAACAATAAGAAAGGAATATATTAAAGGAGAAAAAAGAAATGAATAATTAAAAAGAGAAAAACACAAAAAATGGAGTTATAGAAGAGAAAAATATAAGAAATTAACAAAACAAGCAAACAAAAACACTTAACCAGGGAAAGGAAAGATGGGAAGAGAAAGTGCATAGAGAGTAGTGAAGAAAGATCAAAAGATTAAAAAATATATATATAGGTGAAATAAGAAACAAGAAAAGAAGGAAAAACAAAAGCAGAAATAGAAAGGGTAAAATTTAAAGGAATGGAAGGAGAAAGAGAAGAAAGGATAAAAAAATATAAAAACAACAAAACAATGAAAGGAAAAAAAATAAATAAATCAAAACAACAAAGCCAGTGTAGCTGTTGGACCTAGATAGGAGAAAACCCTGGAGGCTCCTGCCAGCCAAGGTGCTTACTAGGTGGGTGTGGGAGGCATGTGATTGTGGAGTTCCTGGCCCTATATGGAGTTCCTATAGGCCTAGGTGTTATCTATGTTCAGGGCATTTAATCTGGAAGTAGTTTGTGGAGGTCATATATAGAGCTGGTTTTGGTATCTGTTAGGGTCACAGGGTTGCTGGGGACAGGTGGCTGGTTATGAGGGTTTCTTCTAAACTAATGCTGGCCTGGTGGCTCTGTGGGTTCTGTAGGTCTGGAGCTTGACTGAATCCAAGCACAAAAGTGTTATAACTGGCCCCCACCTCACACTGGTGTGGCTCACAATCTTGAGGCTCCAAACTCCTGGAGAGCAGGATCTGTGCTAGGGGTGGATGAGGGTGGGAGCTGGTCATACCTCTGGTTACCAGGGAAACATGTGACTCTGCTCTTCCAGGCCACCTTCTGCCACTAAAATTTCTTACAAAAGTTCAAGATGGTCGAGTCTCATCTGGCTGGCTATTCACCCATCAGGCTACTTCTCTCGCTGTCCCTGTTCAGCTTTTCCTCTTAGCAAACACTCAGTTCACTTCTCTGACCTCTTCTCTGAAGTTCAGGGTTCCAGGATTTTCATCTGTATCTATTTCATTTGGTCCCTCACATCTTTATGATAGAGGGTCCATGTAATGACTGTCTTGTCTGCTATCTTGCCAGAAGTCTTTAAGAAGTTTTTGAAATCTTAAGGAGAGAAAGAGATATTTAGACTGAATGTAATATTTTTAATACAGGCATTATGAGGCACCTGAAATTCCTTAGCAGGACTCAACTAACTAGCTCATCAGCCAGGCATTTTTTTCAAGGGAAACAAAAGTCAGAGTATCAAGATTTCTCTGGGCTAAGCTTCCACTCAAAGTCAACATGGAGACTTGGGACCTGCGGGCATAGGAAGAACCTGCCAAGCCAACATCTGCAGGGACCCTCTCTGCCAGCTGTGCATACAGAGATGAGTCAGGAGAGGTAGAAGTGGGACAGGCAGGTAGGACAGGAAGGGACAGAGGTGAGACAGGTGTTTTGCTGACAGACTGACTTCCAACTCCCAGAAGGGGCCTCACTCTTGCCAGCACCCTGTGACCCAGCTCCTTAGCAGTGGCCATTCATACCCTTAACCCCCTGCACTGAAAGCAAGATGAAGGGAGGGCCAGTTTCCAAGGGGAACCCAGAGGCAGGAGGCTCAGAAAAACCCTGAAGGTAGATTGTGTTTCCTTGAGGCTTTTCTGCCTTTCTAAGTATGAAGATGCAAATACCAAAGTTGAAAATGACAATGATTTAATATTCAACAGCCTTCTCATATTTGAAAAGAGCTACTTTAATAAAGAATACATATATCCATCAGTTTCCAGTAAGTGGCTCAATTTTTTTAGCACAATAAACCCTTTGATAAGGTGGCTTATGAATAATTTCTCATAAATGTAGGGCATGACTTAAGTGTCTGTCATTAAGCTTCCTGAAGGACACTAAACATATGTTGTTGTCTCTATTGTAGAGACACATCTTTCTAGAATCAAAGGTGGAATTCCTGGGGTTGTGAAGAAGTTTGAGTAAGTTTGGGCTTTCTCTTGCAGCAGAGTTCAAGTCCTGTATCACTGATGCATTTGACCTGGTGCCATTGCCCTCAAAGCACACCAGCTGCTTCACGGTGGTCCCAGTGTTATCTCTTTCCTCTACCCATCTGCAGACCAGCAGAAGATTCTCCCCTTCTCATCACCGACTAGGAGTTTGGTCTGGTTTCTTAGGAAGAAAATGAAGAGACAAGCATGTTAGAGGTAAACCTATGAGTCTATCACATGGGAAACTGCATTATGGGGGTTCAGTTCCAAACCTACAGCCCAAACCTAGCTTCATCTCCTTGGAAAAAATGGAAGGGAAAGTGAGACCTATAGGATATTTTGTGCCATCTCAAGACCCTAAGAAACTCTTGAACTGCACATAACTGGCTCCCAAAGAACTGAGAGGGAGCTCTGTGAAGCCCAGGTACCTAGGAGTAGGGCCTTTTTCTTTCCAGCATCACAAAGTGTCCCCCTGTCCTGTGAAAGATACAGAATAGAGTGTGAATTTTCCAGCAGTGGGTACAGTTCTGGACTTTTATTTTCTCCTCCCCATGCACTCCTAGCCTCACCCACCTCTGCCTGGCAGTTGAAATGCTATTTGGTTCCCCCATGGTAGCTGGAATGGCCCACTCCAGGGCAGTGAGAAAAGAAAGAACATGGCTCTTAAAGACCAGCAACCTCTTGAGACTATGCTTCCTAGTTGTAGATGGTGCTAGTAATAATACCTATCTCCCCTGAAATACTGGTAGGAATAAAATATGGTAAACAGAGGGAGGTATCTAACGCTTGCCATTCTATATTGTTAGCTTCCATTGAGATGGCCCCATGCATGGCAGTCTCATGTGCAATGGAATGAAAAGCTGTCCAGTCCTGCACATACCTGTGATGGAAGAATAGCCATCTTAGCCTAGAAGCTTCACTGAAACCTATTCAGAATGATGGCAATATGCAAGCCTCCACTGACAGATGGACAGTGCTGTGCATGAGGTGCATTGGCAGGGACCCAAATGTGGGTCTTTCACATGGAAGGTAAGAATTTTACATTTGAGCCACCAATTGGCTCATGTTGACTTGTGCTTGCTAAGTTCCGTCAAATCAGTTCCAACTCATAGCGACCTATATAGAGTTTCCTAGGAGCAGCTGGTTAGTTTGAACCATTGACCTTATGGTTAGCAGGCTAATGCTTATTCTACAGCCCAGGGCACTTTATGTTAATGTATGGTAATCATTATGCCAAATGTTACATGGGCATTAGAAATCAGGACTAAAGTTCCTCTTTAGAATAAAATTGTAAAACAGGATAAGAACTGGACTTCAAGGTCAGTTTAAATCACATGGTTGGTGGTTCAAACTCACTGGCCACTCCTTGGAAACTCACTATGAGTCAAAACCTACTCGATGGCACTTCACAGCAACTACTTTTTGGATTACTTTATGAATGAAAATATTTGAAAGAGCAAGGGCATATATGTGTGTTAAAAATATCTCCTAGGGTCCTGCATAGACTCCTGGAATGGTGCTTTGGATCAACACTGGACAGAAAACCACAAGGTCGGCAGTTCAAACCCACTGGCTGCTCCTTAGAAACCCTATACAGAGTTACTATTAGTCCAAACCAACTTGACAACATTTAAGAAAACTAACAGGGCCCTGCATGGACCACTTCACCTGCCTCCTGTGCACAAGACCCTCCGGAGTCAGTGCAGTATGGTGGCCTCCCAGGCAAGGCAGCCTGAGCCCAGGGTCTCAGGACTTGCCTAGAGGCAGGCATGCTACCTTCTCCTGGATCCTGGCGAAACAAGTTGGTAGTTACCTGGACACAGCCAAAGCTGTCACTGCGGAGCTGGTCTTACTGCGCTTCCCTGTCAAAGCAACACTGACATCCAGCTCTTGGCAAAGGGCCAAATTCTTCTCCCACCTGTGACCTGTGGGAAGAGTGCAAGAGTGACTGAGAAAATCCTTAGTGACTTCGCACACATGCACACCCCTACACAGAAACACAAACACACACACATATTTATATTTGTGGTCAGCAAGTTGTTAAATTGATGGGGAAATATATTTAATCTTGGCCTGTGCTGTTGCAAAAAGGGCCATCCCAATTTAATTTGCAGGCTGTGATAGTTACATGTGCTGACGTGCTGCGGTATCCATTGTGCACCAAATTGGATTTGTGTATTATTGCTTTCTAAATTGCATGCCTAGTTCAGCAAAATTGTTCATCAGTGTTTACTGGCTTTATGCTTAATAAGATGCCCCACAATACCTTGCTGCCAGGATGTAATGCAGCCTGTAATTGCCTAGTAAAAATAAATTGCATAAAGTTGGCATTATCAACTTATCTAAATCCTCTCACACCACAACCAATAATTAAATGCTGAGGACATTCTTTCAAAAAATATAACTCAATGATTGTTACTTCACTCTGCATTTAGGGATAAGCATTCATTCCTTTCTTGCGCAGAGTGGGAAGCACACATGTCTAGCAGGACATAGCCCTGCAAAGTCACTTTCAAGATGTCAGGGCAAGAAAGATGCAACTGCCTCAGCTATTCTGGGGTGGCCACCTCTGTACTCAGACAGGCCTGTGCACCAGACAATGCAAGAGGGGTGTAAAGGGGCCTTCTCTGAAACATAACTAGGCAGCTCAAGTTTGTGTATAGCTCCAAACACACTTTTCTGAAGCAACTGTGATGTATCCAATTGAGTCTGAATCTACGGAATGATTCCTAAAATAAATTGTGCTCAAGTGGAATGGTCCTTGTTACAAATGACAAATGAATTCAAGACAGAAATTAGATTCTATCTTCCCACAAACGCAGTATCTTAATATCTTCAAAGATTTTATTTCTTATACCTACCTTAAGACATTTGAGGGATGTAGCAATATACAAGAGTCCTGGTGTTGCACTGTAGGATAAGCACAGGACTGCTAATAACAATATAAGTGGTTCAAGCCACCAGCTGCTCCTCAGAAAGCTTATACAGGATAGCTATGAGTCAGAACGGATTCAATGGAACTTAACAACAAAAACAATATATATACTGAGAGAACACATGTGCAAATGCCATGTGTCATGCCCAATACTGGTTCCTGTCCAACACATTCTTTCCAGGAATATTAGAAGAACATTAAAAACAAACCATGCCCTACTGTTGAGTCAAGTCTGCCTTGTAGCAATGCTAAGGGACAGAGGAGAATTGTTCCATTGGGTTTCCAAGACTGTAAATCTTTCCAGGATCATACACTCTCATTTTTCTCCCATGGTGTCACTGGTGGGTTTGAACCACTGACCTTGCAGTTAGCAGTCCAATGTTTTTCTGACTGTACCACCAAAACTCCTATTCAAGAACTCCAGTGGCATACAGTTGAAAAAATCTATCCATAGATTTGTTAACTCTAAACTGTGGCTCAGGCTAATTTTTATTAAGATGTCTGTATTCTTGTGTTATTTCATCAGAATACTTCCTTGAACTGTAATCAACACCCTGACAATTCAATCAGAACAATTAGGAGGGAGAGGACCAAGGGCCCCCTCTGGTCTGAAGCCATCTTTTAAGTTTTCTAATGTCATCAGCTCATTTGATCAGAGACAAGAAACTCACAGGACTCTGGGAAAATGGTCATCATGGCCTGCACATTATGAGCAGATTCTTGTCTAGGTCTAGTCTTTTGCCATTGACACTCTGAAAGTTAGTATGAGAAATACCTCCCTTTGACAGAGGAAGAAATTGGTGGCTAGTGAAGTTGCTTGTGACAGAGGTGAGTCTAGAGCCTTTTCTCAGTTCACATTTCTCTAGATCCCTTATCAGTAAGCGTAGTCTCTTCACAACTATTGATCCTATTGATCCTAAACAGAAAGAATTGCTGGCACTTCCAGAACCAGTGGATTGGTTTTGACGCGTTCTTTGTTTGTCTGTACATCTGTCCACCCACCCACCCAGCATTCTCTCTCAGACATCCAATATCAACCATGGGCTGAACTAGTGCTTTTAATTTAGTAAGCCTTGATAACTTCAGAAATGAGCAGTTGATCCCTAAACTGGAGTTTTCTCATGCTCACCACAGAATAAGGACCACGTGCTAGTTCTATTCCAAGAGGGTGAGGAGAGGGAGAGTTTGGCCCAAGCTCTCACAAGAGGTGCCCAGATTTCCTGAGAACATACACGCTCTATACTTTTCTTTCATGCTGATAGACTGATTCCTCGAAGTGGCCCCAAAGTTGTCCGAAAGGTTGTTGTTGCTGTTGTAATTTGCTATTGAGTCAGCCCCCAACGATGACCCCATGTGCAACATAACAAAATATTGCCTGATCCTGTGCCATTCCCATGATTGGTTGCATGTAGGGCTGCTTTGATACAGAAGTACATCACCAGACATTTTATTCCTAGTGCATTTTTTAGTCTGGAAATTCCATAGCACCATAGCAACTCTCATCAAAGAAACATCAGAGCAAGACAGACAAGACAGTTGGTGGCTGCACATGATAAGCACAGTGCAGGAATCAAACCCACATCTCGCACCTCAAAATCCATAGCTGTGAAGTAGATTCCAATTCATAGCACCTATGTAGAACAGAGGAAAACTGTTCCATAAGGTTCCCAAGGTTGTAACTCTTTATAGAAGCAGAATACCACAACTTTTTTATCCTACAGAGCAGCTGGTAGGTTCAATGCTTGGTTAGCAGTCAAGCACGGAATCCTTGCATGGGAGGCAAAAATTCTACCCCTGAACCACCAATGCCCTGGTTCCAAAGCCTCCTAGAGGTATTAGGACAAGTGGTTGGATGCAGTTTGGTTTCCTGAGGAATCACTGCTCAGGCTCCACCTGGCTGTTGAGGTAGGTCCCTGAATGGTGATCTCTTGCAGGAAGGGGTTTCCAAGGCAGAGCATAGACCATTCCACAGAGGGTAGGCTGATCACATGCCTGTGCCTGGTCACATGGAGGAAGAATTCATGAGTAAGCAGTCAATGCATCAAGGAGTGTGTAATCCATTTTAGGAATGAACTTGATTGAAATGGCTTCTCTTTTCAGAAGGCAAACTCCAGCAATCCAGGAAATCCAGAAGACAAAGCAAAGAGAGGTTGCCAGATTACAGAAGAATTCTCACTTCATATTAACATATTTCTTTTCTTTTTTTTTAATGTTTTATTGTGAATTATATGATAGTTTACATGAGAGAACTTTAGTTTTACATTCATTCCATCGTATATCATTTCATTGCCATGGTTCCAATCCCCTCC